CAAGTCCTTCTATCAAGTAAATCAAAATTACTTGTAGTTCTGATGTCTTCCTGTTTCTTTGAGCACTTGCAACTTCTTCTAAAGCCTCTTTACAGGAAAATAAAAGTCACAGGTCTTCTTTCATATGTACTGGCCACGAGTGAGTTCCTTTTTCAGAGTAACGAAAGAGCAGCTCAGGGACAGAACTTTTCTGGTCAGGTAACACAGGGTAAAGCCGGTGATATGCCTGTCTATTTTGACAGGCTAAGCTCCACTTCTGCATTTTCTCTTTGTTCAGATTGAAGCTCATGTTAGTTTTCTCGTTCATGGTAGAGCAAAGTTGTATTTAAGGGTAGCATTGATCTGAGTGCTCATGCTGTTGAAGACATGGAACTTCAAGTTTGTTGGTTGCATATCCAACAGATCAAAGAACTATTTTTTGTGACCTGTGACTCAACAGTGACGAGATTTAAGAGTGACATTTTAGATGGCTGTTACTAAGGTGAATAAAGATTCACAGAATCACAGAATAATGAGGTTGGAAGAGACCTCTAAGATCACTGAGTCCAACCTGTGCCCTAACACCTCAACTAGAGACATGGCACCAAGTGCCGTGTCCAGGCTTTTCTTAAACACACCCAGAGATGGTGATTCTACCACCTTCCTGGGAAGATCATTCCAGTACTTTATTATTCTTTTGGTGAAAATTTTTTTCCTAATATCCAACCTATCCCTTCCCTGCTGTAGCTTGAGATTGTGTCCTCTGGTTCTGTCAGACCAACCCCACCTGTGTGCAGCCTCCCTTCAGGAAGGTTAGAGAGCAATAAGATCTCCTCTGAGCCTCCTCTTCTCCAGGCTGAGCAGCCCCAGCTCCCTCAGGGGTTCCTCACAGGGTTTGTGTTCCCAGCCCCTCTCATCCTCCCTGCCCCCTCTGGATGTGCTCGAGCATCTCAACATCCTTCCCAAACTGAGGGGCCAGAGCTGGGCACAGCACTCCAGGTGTGCCCTCAGCAGTGCCCAGTGCAGGGGCAGAATGAGCTCCCACCATTCCTGACCCAGGCCAGGAGCCATTGGCCCTCTTGGCCACCTGGGCACTCTGCTGGCTCATGTTCAACCAGCTGTCACCAGCACCCCCAGGGCCCTTTGTGCTGGGCACTGTCCTGCCACACTGTCCCCAGCTTGGAACGTTGTAGGGGGGTTATTGTGGCCAAAATGTGGAACTCAGCACTTGGACTGATTAAACTTCATGCTGCTGGACTCTGCCCATCCATCCAACTGATCTAAGTCTCTCTGCAGAGCCCTCCTTCCTTCCAATAGATCAACACAAGCTCCCAGCTTGTGTCCTCTGCAAATTTACTCATGAGGGACTCGATGCCCTCATCCATGTCGTCTATAAAAATATTGAACAGAGCTAATATTACAGCCACCTGATGAGGTCTTCAGGTGAGAGAAGCGGACGAGAATCTTAGTTCATGATCAGAAGGCTGGATTTATTGATATATGATATATAATACATTATAACTATCCTAAAAAGAATAAAGAGAGAGGTTGCAGAGGCTGCTAAGCTAAGAATAGCATAGAAAAGAATGAATAACAAAGTTCTGTGTCCAGGGAATCTGTCTCTGAGCTTGCTCCTGTGATTGGCCCTTAATTGTAAACACGGAACCTGAACCAATCACAGGGGCACCTGCTACATTTCACAGCAGCCGATAACAATTGTTTACATTCTTCTTCTGGGGCCTCAGCTTCCCAGAAGATGAACAAATCCCAAAGAAAGGATTTCTATGAAAAACTGTCTGCGACAAGCTGGCCCCAGCCCAGAGCCCTGAGGGACACCCCTGGTGCCTGGGTGCAGCACCATCCCCATCACTCTCTGAGCCCAGCACAGAGAGTGGGACTCTCTGTCCCAGCCCTGGCTGCAGCTTCTGCAGGAGGGAGCTGTGGGAGACACTGCCAGAGGCCTTGCTGGAGCCCAGATAGACACATCCACAGCCTTTCCTGCACCCAGCAGGCTGGCTGTTCCAGAAGCAGTTGATTTATTCAAGCACGGTGTCCTCCTCCAGCTGGCAGCCTCTGCCTGTCTCCAGTGTGCTGTGCTGAGCTGAATTGCTGGCCCGGGCTCCCCAGGGATGGCTGTGGCTGGCGGCAGGAGCAGATAGATAATCTCTGCCTCTGCCCCTCTCCTCCAGGCTTGCTGGCAGCAAAGCAGAAGCAGCCCCAGTTGCCATTCAGGGGGGTAGAGCTGAGCCATGGCCCTTCCTTGGGGCAGCTCGGCAGGAAGCTGAGTCAGTGCCGCTTCCTGTAGCACCTGTTCCTATCAGCTCCTGCAGGAGGTTATTAACTGGGCTCTGCCTGCTTCACTGGCACCTCTGAGTCACTGCTGGCAGCCTAATGGGGCTTTAGATGGGTTTCTGGATTAACAATCACATTTTAATTGCCTTCTCTGTTAAAGGGGAATTGGTGTTTGCTCTGCCAAAATATGTGATAAGCCTGCATCCCATTACAGTGGTTGTTTCATTTTCTAGCGCGTTTCCCTTATTTAAAGCAAACAGAGCTCTTTGGTTGCTGAGAACCAGTGAGTCATGCATTTTGATACTATAAAATGTGACACCTGCAAAACTCTGTTTTCTCACAGCATGGTTGGAAATGTTATCAGGTCTAGGATCAAAGCTGTGCCTCAACAGAGGCCTGGTCACATGAGGCTTTATTGGGATTTGCAGAGATGTTTTGTCACCAGGCTGCTATGTAGGTGTTTGAGTATTCCACACATACACACCCACTTTTGTGGCACCCCGATTATACCATAGCATGCAAATATAAAGATGCACAGATGAGATAGAGCTTCTTAAAAAAAAAAAAAAATCACAAATTTTTGGAAGTTTAGCTGTAGTAGTAATGAATATTGTCATGTTTAAACTGAGGCTAGACTTTGGTCTTGAATTTGAGACTGTAATCCATGTTTCCAATAATTTATGGGCATATTTTGTATCTGTTAAAGTGGTTACATCATGTATGTGTATACCTGTATCAAAGGAAAGGTGCAAAGGTTTTCCTAAATTGTTGATATTGATACTGTTTTTGGCTTTTTTTGGAGGTTTGCCGATCTCACTCTTGCAAACTTTTGCACATTTCACTTTCAAAATAAAGAATTTGCCTTTCTCTAATAGAGAGGTAAAACAAGTAAGGAGATGTATTAGCCATGCTGAAATGTTATAAATTTTAATATCTTCAGAACTGCATTGGAAGTCCTCAGGAAATTTCCTTTTAATGGAAGTGCTTGGATCATTATTCTTGGACTGTGAATCTGAGCGTTTTCAGCCAGAAGCAAGGCTTGCAGTTCTTTTCCCTTATTCAATAGACCTTTGGCTGACTCCACTTCCAAAGATGCATTTCTTACTGCAGCATATTTTAAGCTTGGCAGAAAACAGGATTGCAGTAGATTCCCTCTGCACCAACCTTGTGCTTTGCCAACAGGAGATCTGCCCTCGCTCCAGCAGGGCAGGAGAAGCTCGTGTGCCATAGAGAGAGGTGCATTTCTGCCTGCTTGCCCTGTGCTCAACACTCATCTGTCACAGCCTTTTTGTTCTCAGTTCAGCCCCTCTTCTTACCAATCTCTGAAACCTGAAACTGCAACATCTCATGCTAGTAGGAAGCCTTGATGATTTTTTTATCATTACTTCTAAGCAAGCTAAAAAGAGGACGCTGCTCAGTGTGCTTGTCCAGCGAATGCTTTTCTGTTGGTTGTGCTTGTCTCAGGCAGGCAGGCCATCATTCATTCTCAGCTCTGTGTTCTCCTGCAGCATCCCTGCAGGCATCATTTCAGGTCTCTGCAGGAGTTATGGGATCTGCAGGCTGCAAGTGGGGCATTGGGTTCCTCTGGGAAATCTGCTTTGTCTGGCAGACCTTGTAGCTGGGCAGGTGTCTGTCTGGGTTATCCACTACCTGAGCCTTTGGCAATTTCTGCAGTTAAACCCAGAAATAAAGAGTGTTGTCATGCCCACACTGGAAAGGTAAACAGCAAAGATCTGCTCTAGGAATTCTGCTGGGATGCAAGGACACAGACGTGTCTGTGCTGTCCACACATACATTTGTCTGTTTTAAAGAGTATAAATAGAAAACAAAAGGATTTTTAGTAAATTCAACAATAGCTGTTGCACGTTGATTTTTAATTTTTAGATAGTTTTTGTCCTCCATTAGGTTGCTGAATAGGGGATGGGTTCAGATGAGTAGGAAAATTCCTTGGGAATTTTCCCAAGTTGTGGGATCTCAAAACTGATTAGTTTTGTTAGTTGGTTTAATAATTTCAAAATGTAATTGATATCTTGAATTGAGTAATGTAACTTAATCACAGTCTAAAACATCTTAAACTATGATATTAAATTTGCTGGTTTGGAACAAATATCCTACTTTTTACTGACAGGCTGGTAGGTTGTGGCTTTGATAGTACAGTTCATGTCTGGGTTGTATGGCTTACTATTGTTCTTTTTAAGTGAAAATTTAAAACAATGTGCAGAAGCAAACTCTTGTCTGGTGTGTCTTGATGTGTCCCCCTCATTTAAGACTGACTATCTTTGCAAAGGGCAGGTTGCAGAAGTGTAAATTCAGCCTGTGGCCTGAGCAGGTTTTGCCAAAATAGCTTGCATTGGGAAAAAAAAAATCCCTAACTTCTAATTTCATTCTTTGATGAGAACATTCAATTTAACAGTAGGAATCAAAATAAAGTGCTCATTTGTATTAGACCTACCCATTCTGAAAGAGATTTGTGTGAATGCATCTTGACAGGCAGGCTCAGCTGAGCAGGTGCTGTCTCTGTAAATCACACAGCAGCAAACAGGTAATTCCTGCTGCCCATTCAATGTTCCAACAACTGTAAATACAAACACGAGTGCAACAAAGAAAATGGAGCTGGATTATCCTAACCTTGGAAACATCTCCATGGACTGTGAATGCCTTGAAAATCTATCTGTGTAATGTCTGTGCAGCTTTGCAATGCTGAAGTTGTGCCTTATTTGTGCTTCCAGCACCTCATCCCGTGTAGCCAAAGGAGTGGAGTGCAGCAAGATGAGCCTGCACGGCGCCGCCGGGGGCCACGAGAGATCCAGGGACAGGCGGCGCTCCAGCGACAGATCCCGCGACTCGTCCCACGAGAGAGCAGAGTCCCAGCTCACCCCGTGCATCAGGAATGTCACCTCACCCACAAGGCAGTGTCATTCTGGTGTGTGCAGCTCTCCCATTGCAGGAATACACTGCTCCACATTTGTACTCTTTTGTTAAAGGAATACAATAAAAAGTGTTATTTGGTGATGGCACAGCATACACATTTCTCACATGTGCCCTGAGCTGGGAATACCATTCTTTGATAGGCTGTAACTTTTTTTGCAGTCTGCTGTGTGTATTCCTACATGATGCTCTTATTTAGTTCAAATCACAAGAACAATCTACTTTTTATAGATAATTGACTGGAATTATAATTGACTGTGCATCCCCTTTACTCTGTAGGGTCTAGGTATTTGGAAATAGAGAAAATAGGGATTTTTTCAAGTGACAAAATATGGTTTGTTTCTTTGAGCTGTAGCACCAACTGTGATGCAATAGCTTCTGTGTCATGTTGAGTTCCTTTTTCAGTACTAGAGTAGTAAATTTTCTTTGTAAAGATTTCTGGGGAGGGAGAGGTGGGTTTGATGTCTAGATGATGCAGACTTTAGAATCTCATAAATGGGCAGTTATTTTTGAAGGTTTCTTTAACCAGAATAGATTTACCCAAAATAATTTGTACTGAACTCCTCAAATGGGTGTGTTTTGTGCCCAGAGGACACAAGCTACACAGGACTCCTGTAAATCTCTAATTTCATTTCCTGTTTTTTCTCCTTGCCCTCGTCTCCACCGAAGATCGCGAGAAGGATCACAGCTCCTCTCGGCCCAGCAGCCCCCGGCCCCAGAAGACGTCCCCCAATGGCTCTGTTGTCAGCATGGGCACCAGCAGCAGGAACAGCAGCCAGTCCAGCTCAGATGGCAGCTGCAAGGCTGCTGGGGAGATGGTGTTTGTGTACGAGTACGGCAAAGAGGGAGCCCGGAATGTCAGAACTTCCGAGCGAGTCACACTCATCGTGGACAACACCAGATTTGTTGTAGATCCTTCCATCTTCACTGCACAACCTAACACAATGTTGGGCAGGTTTGTATCTCTCTTGGGTTTGGTTTTTTCCTTAGCCCCCAGCTGTTATAGAGAGCTGGATATTTAAACTGTTTGAATAGCTGTTGGACTCATATTGCTGCAGCTGATCTTGCTAATGTCAAATATTACCAGTTTACAAATGTCTTTAAGTAGAAATTGAATGCAAGTTCTCTGGTTTTGGCAGGAAAGCCAAGAGATGTCTATTACCTAGAGATGACAGCTGATAAATAAATCAGCATTTCATGATGCTCCCATTTCTTTCTGTCTTCCTGGGCATTGCTTCTATGTTCAGTCTGCCTCACTCTTCCTCATTTTTCAAGCTAGGTGGATGCTTCATAAAACAAGGTGGCATAGTAAGTGTAGACAGTCTCTTTCAAAACAGCAAGGAGGAAAATCTTGAAGGAATTTATTTTGCTTAGTGGGCCTACCCTGGCAATGTTCAAGCTAAGCCCATTTATCTTCTGAAATGTCAAATAATCAGTGTAACAGCCCTGAGCCACTCAGCAGAAAGGCTGAATACTCAAAATGATCAACACTTGAATGCAAGTCTGCAATATGTGTGTAATGTTTTGTGTAGAAACTATAATGAGCAACATATTTAACATGTTTGCTTGGTGGGAAAAGATTCAACACTTGACTGGCTCAAATTCTGGTTGGTTTTGCCTTGTCCAAGTGCAGAGGGCACCACTTAAAATCTTGCTTCAAGAAAGAAAAGAAGGGTTTTTCTGTGTCACTTTGGATTTGGCTTTTTCATTAAAATACAGCTTTTTCTCAGCACACAAGGATATAATCATATTTAAAATACATGTATATAAATCTCCTTGCCACATTACAGGTAATAAATGTGATTACACAATTTTTGCTCTGTTTAAATCACTGCAATGTGGGATAAATAGTACCTTGGATCCCTGTTTTGGGAAAAGTTGGCTGAGTCACAGAGAAAGCAAGAAATGCTTCTCTGTCTAAACTGTCAAAAGGAATAAATGGAAGTAAGAATCAACAGAATTAAATAATTGATTTAAAGCACTTGTATATTATACAATACATGCATACATATAAATATCCAGACAGACTGGAAGTGTATCAGCTCAAAAGAAGCAAGGAAAGAGTTTCCTTTTCCATGGCCAGCCTCAGAGTAAGAAGTGCTGCCTAATGCACTGGATTTTTTGTGCATGTGTGATGCTGAGTTATTCTCCCTTTGGGATTGGTTCAAGGAACAAGCTTATTTTATCTTTTGCTAATTGAAAAGTAGGTTAATAAAGATACAGAAATAGTGCTCTAACACTCAGGGTATTTATAAACCCACTTTCCCTCGAAGCCAGTCTGCAGGACAGTAAGCAGGAGCAGCTTGGGAGGTAAAAGTAGCTATAATAAGAATGTACTGTTTGCCTGAAGCCTGGATCCTGTTAGACTGTGATTTTCTAAATATTATTTCTTGTAGAGTGGTCAGGAAAGGCACGTCAGATCATGAGGTGAAACCATAACCCAACTGAACAGAGTGCACTGCTTTTCCTTGCAGTTTCTGTACAATTTCTTGCATTTTATTTTTCTTATTTACAAACAAGAAACCATAGTGAGGAATTCTAACCCAAATTACTTTCATTCTTGAGCAGGATGTTTGGATCAGGCAGAGAACACAACTTTACACGGCCCAATGAAAAAGGAGAGTATGAAGTTGCTGAAGGAATTGGTTCTACTGTGTTTCGTGCTATTCTGGTGAGCTTTTAGGAGCAAATACTGTTAGGACAAGCACTGATAAGAAGTAAAACCTCTTGGTTTAACCCACCTTGCATATCTAGATGTTGTGGATGGCATAGATACTGCTCTTTATATTGTTTAGTAGAGGGGAGAAGATGATTGCTATGAACCCCCTTTTCTTAGACATGGACATGTGACAGTCAGGGAGAGAGAAAGTACTCATGGAAGAAACCCAAAGTTACAGTTCACCTTTTCCTATGCATGTAGTTCACCAAATTCAAGTATTTTCTGCCCTTCTAGAGCTGAAGTTAGGTAAAACAGAATACTGGAAGTGAGCTTCAGGCAGCTATCAGGAGTCAAACTTCAGGCTGAGATGGAAATGGCCCCTTATTTAATATCCACACAAGGAAGCAGAGCTGCTGGGCTGCTTTGTCAGCAGCCTTGGAATGGGAAGAGCTCAGTGAAGTACAGATAAAAGACAGCAAAATTATCAGTATTAATTGTTGTCACTTCAATAACATTTTTAACCAGAACTCACTGCTCTGAATGCAGCTCTGAAAACTGATAAATTTGAGGACAGGAAGATTCACAAAGTTTAACATTTGTTGCTGTCCTACATTTTGTGGGCTTTCTGTGTGGAGAAGGAGCATGAATGAAATGATGCAGTGTTTCCCTTGGTGGATATTGTGCATTGTGCTTTTTCTTGGTGCCTCCTGCAGGATTACTACAAGACTGGGGTGATTCGCTGTCCTGATGGGATTTCTATTCCTGAGCTGAGGGAAGCATGTGACTATCTCTGTATCTCCTTTGAGTACAGTACTATCAAATGCAGAGATCTGAGTAAGTACAGAGTTTATTACAATAATTTCAGTTATACAAATTGACTTAAGTGTGTGTGTGTTAATTCTAAATCATGTCCTTTATTTGAGATAAGGAAGATGGCTGGCAGTACATGAATAAAATCCGTCCCTTTTTATCTCTTATGTAATAAAGCCTTAAAACCAATGGATTTATGTTCTTTGAAAAATAATGTCTGATATCTCAGCATCTGATTCTGTGCTGTGGTCACCCTGTGGAATCTTAGCTCTGTGATTGCATTTGCAGTGCAGATACAGTGCCACTGAGTGGTACCTTTTTTTGCAGAGGACAGGGAGGATCATTTTCCAGCTCCTTGCTGAGGAGAATGGGGCTGTCTCCCTGGTGGCAGTGGCACAGCTTTGCTGTGGAGGGGCTGCTCCAGGATTCCCAGCATGTGCTGTTCTCTCCAGCTGCCTCAGCCCTGAGCACAGCCTGTGCCTCTGCTTGCTGTGTGTGCAGTGCAGGGCCAGCCTGTGGCATTCCTGCTGGGAATGCACCCAGGGCCTTCCCTCAGGGCCACCCCCTGCCCCATGCCCGAGCTCTGTGTCCTTGCAGGGATTTAGCAGCTCCTACCCTGGGGGCTTTGAGAAGCTTTGGCTTTAAGCTGCTGCTTATGAAGCGTGGGTTGTGTGCTCTGCTCTCCCAGCTTAAATAATTTTGCTTTTGCAAAACCAAGAGCAGCCTTGCACAATTACCAAATATTTAGCAGTAGTGAAATGCACAGGAGGTCTCAAAGTGCCCAACACTGTGTTAAAATCTGCAGGACAGGCTGGTAAATATTCAAACAAGTCTGAACCTACATAAACTCATAGACTAAGCGTCCTTACACCTGTCTGCAGAAATACTACAAGATAAACAATTTTTCTTATTGCTGCCTTCATCTCAATACCAAGCTCTCAAATGTGTCTGTGCTTAAAATTTTCTTCTAGGTGCTCTCATGCATGAACTATCAAACGATGGTGCTCGCAAGCAATTTGAGTTTTACCTGGAAGAAATGATCCTGCCATTGATGGTGGCCAGTGCCCAGAGTGGGGAGAGGGAGTGCCACATTGTTGTGCTGACAGATGATGATGTTGTTGACTGGGATGAAGAGTATCCCCCCCAAATGGGAGAGGAGTATTCACAAAGTAAGTTTATCCCCATTGTTCCCACCAAGCCATGCCATGGTAGAGGTAGCAGTGAATGTGCTGATTTAAAGCTGTTGTACAGAAATAAACCTCTTCTTTTGAGTAGTTCTGCTTAATATTTTGTTTCACAGAAGCATATTATGCTTGTTCTGTTCAAGTGTAATTAAAAAGAGAAGCTGATTTTTATTATTAAGATATTGTTAGCCAGTGAGGAGGAAGAAAATACTTCTTTAGAAAGAGCTTGAGGTGGGAAATGGGTCGGGGTCATGTTTACTGTGGAAGAGCAACTAGAGTTTTTTTTGAGGAAAAAAACAAATGTTACTATTTTTGGAGAAGAACAGTTGTGTGGATGATGAGTTTAAGCACCTGTAAATGGGCTGTACTTCCTGGCAGGATGTGCACCCAGCCCATTCCCCAGTATCTTCACTGTTTTTCCTCTGGAGTTCTTGAATTTCTTCCCCTCCTCCGAAATAAAAATACTGGTGTAAAGCAAAGCAGTGGAAAAGATAAAAGTTTATGTTTTAAGGCTAGAAGGTTAATTTTTTTTCTCATTAAAATGTATTTTTAGTTATTTACAGCACAAAGTTGTACAGATTCTTCAAGTACATTGAAAACAGAGACGTGGCCAAATCGGTTCTGAAGGAAAGGGGACTCAAGAAGATCCGGCTGGGCATCGAAGGTAAGGGAAGCATTGCTTGTGCTCTCCCTCCCTCTTTGGCCTTCAGGGTCTGCTGCCCTTCTCTGCTCTGTGCCTTTCTCTGTGCCTGGAAAAGCAAGGGCTCAGTGTTGTTTTTCCTGCTGAGGCTGGGTGACAGTGGCCAGAGGGGAATGGTACTCAGCTGGAAACCCTGACTGTGGGCCCCAGAGTGGTGTTGACAGCTTAGGTGCTTCTACTGCCTTCATGACTTGCATCTCATGCCCTTTGCCCTTCAGTTTCCACACAAAATCTTCTCTGTGCTTTGTCTCAAGTAACAAGGCATTTGTACAGCTCTGGATATTGTGTTCTTGGGCTGTGTCCTTTCCAGGGTGTGAAATGAAAAATGTCGTGTTAAAGTAGCAGGCAGACATTTTCTTTCAGGAAGGACAAAACTATCCAGTGGATCAGTGAAGTGCAAAGAAATACTGATCTGAAATAAACGTCATGTATGCTAGGAGGCTGCTCTGTAATATCTGACTGAGTAATCTGATTTTTATCGTGAATGTAAGAACTGGGTTTCTTTGCATTACATTTTTCTTTTGATTGTTGACCCAGATATTTTAGAATCCAGCCTTTATAATTAGCAGGATTTCTATCATTCACTCACCAAGTTGTCATAGTTACATTTGTAATGTGCCAAGAAAAAGCAAATGCTTTTAACTGGTGAGCCCTAAAATAACTAATTTCAGCTGAACAAGGTGGGAGCCTTTCAGCTAAACAAGAGCTGGCCCTGCCTGTAATGCTGGCTAATAGCAGATTATTTCTGCTGGCATTTCTTGGTTTGACAAGGAACAGCTGTGGCACCAAGCTGTGATGCTGGTGCCCTGCAGGAATGTGCAAAATGGACATTGCTGTTGGGGCACAGGGAGAGGTGACTCGAACACAGCACAGCC